TGCTCACCGTTCTGAGTACTATTTTTCTTCTAATCTTTGACATAAGATGCACTATCAACATAATAGGATCCGGGAGATGTTGCGGAGAGAAATACATTAAATTACATTTCAGTTTTGAAATGCATCTTATTTGAATACATAATGGAAAAATCGTGTATCTTGGGATCAATGGAAGCTAAGTATGACACAGGAAACACATTTTTCAGGGGAATTTAAAGCAAGGGAAAAGTCTGGAAGCAGGAGTTTATATTTGATTTGGGGGACAATGGTGGCACATTCAAAAGTTTTTGAGCAAAAGAGTGTTGCTATTAGACTTGTGTTTTAAGATTAGGTCTTCAGTAAAAAATGTCAAGAAAAAGAAACAAAAGATCAGAAAGAGAGTGGTAAAATTGTCTCTATTTGTAGATGACAAGAATGTTTATGTAGTAAATCCTAAAGAATCTACAAGGTAACTCATAGAATTAATACACGAATTTATCAATGTCACAGTGTAAAAGCTTAATATTTCATATATATGCATCATAAATTGGAAAATGAAAATATTTAAATTTTTTTACAATACCGTCAAAACACATACTTAGGAATAATTTAACAAAAGAGCTCTACACTGAAACTACAAAATACTGCTGTATTAGTTCATTTTCACTCTGCTATAAGGAATACTACCTGAGACTGGGTAATTTATAAAGAAAGGAGGTTTAATTGACTTATAGTTCCGCATAGCTGAGGAAGCCTCAAGAAACTTATAATCATGGCAGAAGGGGAAGCAGACACGTCTTACATGGTGGCAAGTGAGAGAGAGCATGTGTGCAGGAGGAACTATCAAACCCTTATGAAACCATCAGATCTTGTGAGAACTCACTCACCATCACGAGAACAGCAAAGGGTATGCATCAAGAAATATTTTTTAAACTTCAAAAGCTCAATAATAAAAATATAAATATAAATATAAATAATCTAATCTTTTAGATGGGCAAGAGATTTGTAAATGTCTCAAAAAAAGACATAAGCTGTCCAATAAGCACAAAAAAGTACTTTATATCAGTCATCATTAGAGAAAGACAAATATAAAATCAATAACAACACTAACTGTTGGTGATGATGTGGAGCACCAAAATATCCATACCTTGTCAGTGAGAGTGGGAAATGAAACAAACATTTTGGAAAAGTCTGGCAGTTTCTTTTAGCAATATACTCTATGACCCATCAATTCCACTTCTAAGTACTTTCTCAAGAAAAATGAAAATATACATGAGAAAGCAAATTAAGGAAGGAAGGGAAGAGAGAGAGAGAGAGAGAAAGGAAGAAAGGAAGGAAGGAAAGAGAGAGAGAGAAAGAAAGAGAGAACGAGAGAGAGAGAGAAAAAGAAAGAAAGAAGAAAGAGAAAGAAAGAAAAAGAAAGAAAGAAAGAAGAAAGAAAGAAAGAAAGAAAGAAAGAAAGAAAGAAAGAAAGAAAG